AGATGTTAACCTCTTCCGCAATTTCTCTGACAGTCAATCGGTGATTTGCACGCACCATCTCCGTAAGCTTGTTTCAAAAGTTGACACGTTTCCGTTTTCGACAGTTTCAAGCAAAATTTTGCATTGCATCGTTGTTCCAGAAAATCATATTTCAAATCGTTACTACCACCTAAACCAGTTGTATTCAAATAACAATATTATTATTATTATTATTACGTAATAGCAAGGACGGAGGCAAAGCCTATTTAGTCCAATAAAATATACAAAATGACAGTTAACAGCTTTTAGAGTAACAGTAAAATAAATAGCTAACATAAAAGAAAAAGAACAAATAAGTATGTGAACAGAATACCAAAATAACAATATAAATCACAGCTAACTAGCGAAACAGNGACAGTAATATGATTTTTGACACAAAACTGACGAATTGATAAAGCTGAGTGTGCAGGTGCATTGTCATGGTGCAAGAAGCATAAGTTGTCTCGTCACAACTCTCTTGCGGATTTTTTCATTTGATGTTGTAAAACGCCTTGACAGTACACACGGTTCACTGTTTCACCTTGAGGCAAGCAATCAAAATGCACAATTCCATTAAAGTAAAAAAACAGTGAGCATCACTTTGACATTGCTTGAACTCGATGTATGTTTTTCATAGCATGAAACAATTGAGATGCTAACCTCTTCCGCAATTTCTCTAACAGTCAATGATTTGCATGCACCATCTCCGTAAGCTTGTTTCAAAAGTTGATACGTTTCCGTTTTCGACAGTTTCAAGCAAAATTTTGCATTGCATCGTTGTTCCAGAAAATCATATTTTAAATCGTCACTACCACTTAAACCAGTTGTACTCAAATAACAATATCACGAAAACTAAACAATCCAAGAACATTGTGGTTACACAGGAGGTTATGCGCAACGGAGTATCACTAAGTATCTCCATTAGCATGTAATTCAAAAAGTTCTATTATTTTCTGAACAGACCTCTAATACCTTATAATGATGGATAACTGATATATTTTTTGATATTCATAGGCGACGGACATTGAGAAATTTATTGTTAGGTACGTTACACATGCATCCTGATATGTACATCTTATTTTCTCGAAAACGACTAGAAGAATACATTTTTTTCTCTTAATAATCCATAAGTCAATATGTTTCTAAATATTTCAAATGTGAAAAAAATAAATAAAAAAATGAAACAGTAGTAGTTACACCCTCAAACTACACCTTACGCAACATGTATCATTTGAACAAACTGAGTAAATTAGTATCCAGATGCTCTAAATTTAAAATATAAATAAGATATCTCAAAGCACTATTAAGATATAACAAAAGATGTGCCATCTACAATCTTATTATTCATTACTGGAAGTATATAAAAAAGTAGCCTTACTTTCTAATGCAATATACATCCTAAAAGTATCACCCTGTATATCTTCTATTAGTAGAAAAAAATATTGTGTAATTCGCATGAAAAATGCCTTATCACCCCGAGACTGCAAAATTCCCACATATGAAAAAACTGTTCTTTACATACTTGTTGCGTAAGTAATTGCGGTATTTAATGAAAACCATCCCAGAAATGATTATTATATCAAGGTAATTGTTGGGCAAATTTGACAATTTATATGATTACAGCCAAATTTTTTCATTTCGAAAACATCAGATTTGACATATTTACTAAATAAATGATTTTTTTATTAATTTTGAAATTTTATGTGAATCTTGGGGTTCGTGACACTAAAGTAAGAAAAGCGAGTGTTTATATCAATGAAGGAATAACCTACTACGTTAATTTTGTAATAATAAAATTTAACAAAGTGATAAAGAACTTTCTATTATTACTTATGTTTAATATTTATCATACTCTGAGAAACAACTACTCTGCGGACTACAGCCCAGTCCAGCATTGAGTTATACCAGCAATATAGACTGTGTCCCAAAATGATGGAATATAATTCATATTTTTTTTCCAGTTCAGATTTTAAAAAATCGCTAAAACAGGTAGTAAATAGAAATTGTCACTTTTCTGCAATATTTTCTTTTTGAGCTATGTTTGACAAACCTATAACATTACAGACATTTGTTTTAATATGACGCTCTATAGTTTGTAGAATAAAAGATAATCATTCTAAAGATGCATTCAGCGATATAAGGTTATACCTACTTTTTTATCACAGTTGTCAAAAAATGTAAAAAATTGCCTTTTATGTCGAACTTACGACTATTTCAAACAATCATAGTCTTTTCTGTGCTTTAAAAAACGTACTTATTTATTATTTCACAATAAGTATCCGGACCAGAGAATTAGACGAGCTATAATAAGTACAGTATCCAAAGATTTTGAATAAACCGGAAGGATAACAGATTTATCTGAATCAGGAAGGCGAAGAACGGTAAGCGAAAGTGATCGTCAAAATGTGATGCTCGCCGTTACTGAAAATCCTCACTCATCTTTTAGATCTATCTCAGCCAACTTCAACTTGTCGAAGTCCTCAGTTCACAGAACTCTGAATCTGAAGTCTCAAAGGTGGCATCTTTACAATGTTAACGTCTTACAAGAACTATGGGCACATGACACAGACAGAAGATTGCAGTTTTGCGAGGAAATAAGAAATTTATTTGAAATACTTAACTTAAAAAATCACATAATTTTCACTGACGAAGCAACTTTTGGCTTAAACAGAAACGTGAACAGGGAAAATAATAGGTTTTGGAGCCCAGAAAGTCCGCATTGGATGCAAGAAAAACATACACAACGGCCGGAAAAGTGAATGTTTGGGCTGGAATAATAGGAAATCGCATACTGGGACTAGGGCAATTTGACAGGCATCATTTATTTGGAATTTTTGTGTTTTCAGCTGATTCCAGCCCTGGAATTAATTTTTCCTAACTGTAAAGAGCACGACATGCCTACTGGTGATGTTTGATTCCAACAAGATGGTGTCCCTCCACATTTTCGCCTCGATGTAAGAAATTACCTTAATGAAGTTTTCCCAACTCGATGGATAGGAAGAAGAGGGCCGCTTGAATGGCCTCTACGCTCCCCTGACTTAACCCTACTAGATTTTTTTGTGGGGTTATCTAAAAAGCAAAGTGTATGTGAACAGACCGGATACTATCGAAGGATTGAAAAATCGTATCAGAGAAGAAGTTCGAAACATAACACCGAATGTTATTCAAAATGTAACTGATAATTTTGAACACCGAAATGGGCATTGTGCAATGGTTAATGGGGGCCACTTTGAACATTTGCTATAATAAAATAAATAGTATGTAGTACTAAATAATTGTTTTCACTTAATTCTTCAATTTTTTGACATCTATGACAAAAAAGTAAGTATAACCTGAATTCGTCTTTAGAAGGGCTGTCTATTTACACTATAAAATATAGAGCGTCCCATTAAAAAAATGTCGGTAATGTTATGGGTCTGTCAGTCATGGCTCAAAAAAATAGAAAATATATCAGAAAGTGACAATTTCTATTTACTAATTGACCCGTTTCAGCGATGTTTTAAAATGTCAACTGGAAAAAATATGAATTTTATTCCATCATTTTGGTACACAGTGTACAACAAATAACTAAAATTATAAGTCAACAGAATTACCAGAAATAGACAGGTTTCGAACTTATTTGCTCTCATCAGTATGACAAAGGTGAGACGACCGACAAATGAGGTGTCATTTATTGATATATTTTTAGTACGGATGAGGTTATAACCTATCAAATATATCATATTGTCATTGTTTATGTAATTCAATGACTGACGGAGCTCTAGTCAGCAGAGCAATTGCTTCCCATAACATCATTAGTTAAAGCTTGTGTTTTACACAAGAAATCACACTTTTAGTAAGAAAATGATAGAACAAGTATATCCATCCAGGAAGTGACGAAGCTTAATGCTAAACTAGAGCAACTTCCTTTAATTATTCGCATGAAAGATCACGGAGAACATATAGACATCAGAAAATGTACGTTTCCTGTTTTGCCCACCAAATTTGTAAAGATACTCGATAATAATTGTGATTAATGCATGTGTTTAATAGTTTCCTAAATGCATTCTGAGGGGTGTGATTATGTTTATAGTATACGAGATAAAAATTTGCTTTGTTTTTGCTTATTCTGAATGTATTGTCAGTTGTCTTATACCCTGAAGACAACTTATATAACTGGTACAGTGCAGATATATTGTTTCTAATTGGCTTAGATTTTATAAAAAAAGTACGTATAAATCAGTAGGTCGATCTTTGCCATTCTGTACAAAGCAATAGGTATTGAGCAACAGTGACAATTAAGATGTGACATACTTTGTAGGTTGTATCTCGCCCACACTGAAACTACGTTTATTAATGTTTACTAATATATTCAAAATTAAAGGATCCTGAATTATCTATCAACGATGTGAATTGGCGTTCATTGTAAATTGTTTGGACAGCCCGAGACAGAATTAAAAAAGAAACATTTACAAACGGTCCTCAAAATAGATTTAAATGTCAAAATTAAAATAGTTCTTTTTGAACTGTAAGAGTTATTATCAAAAAATTTTTTCTGCTACTTTGCGTAAAATACTTTATGCCCCTAAAGTAAGTAAAGTCAGATTTTTTGCACTAGTATGTAAAATATGTTGTTTACTTTTTCATTTTTTTGTATAGTACCCATTTTTTGCTCTAGATAAATAAAAGGAACACTTTCCTAATATAGAAGATTTTTTGCTTTAATTATGTTAATCCAACATCAATAAATTGGCGATACAATCCACGAATGTCAATCAAAATACTGATCAGTCCAAAAAATATTACTCATTATTAAAAGAATTTTTAGTCGCACATTGATTTTACAATACTGCAGATGCTTTTAAATCGATGTCGCATAACAATTAAAAGGTTTCTCGATATTCTAATGTGAAATGGACATATTGATAGCATCATTAAATAGTCTGTTTACCATTCACTTATGATTATAATATCTTGTAACGTCATAATAATAAAATACTTACGGTTATAGGTCAAAATCCAAGAAAATAATAAACTTTTTTAAATAATTCCTGTATTTAATTGATAAATCCGCACACGAGTTCCGATGATGTTAATACTTTAGTAAGACACTGTAAATATCTCAATTAATTAAAATAAACACTTGCCGATTATCACCACACGTCCGTACCAGCGCGTCTTTTCTGTGTCAAAGTCTAGATCAAATTAATCGACGATTGTGTCCTCGATCGAGTGTGCACTTTTAAAAATAATAAAAGAAACTCACTTCCCCGGGTCCCTAGACGCATTCGACATTTCCCTCACTGATTCATTTGTCATCTGCCACAAAACGGAACAAGTGCAACGCGCTGCCCACTTGACAAAAGTAGGTATCTCGAAATATTACTCAGCGCCGATCTTTTTGTTTGTCTTTTTCACGCTACAATAAAAGGAAGGGAACGGAATGAGAAAACGTGAATGATTTGATAGAATAATGTTACAATACAATTAGACATACCGGGAGTTTGGGAAATCCTACAAGACGCCCACATGCCATGGGCGGTTCGTGGAAATGGGTGGAGCGGATAGAAAGTGCTTGGCAAAAAACTACCGGTATCTTAACCAATTTCTAGGACATAATTCGGTTTTGACGCAAGTACGCGGTTTATATTTATAGCCTGTGTAATGATTAAGAAATATGAATAATTGAATAATTGAACTTACAAATAATTGCAGTGTTAATAATGAAGTATGTACATATTTACCGTATGAGAATATTTTTTACAGATTTTTTAAAAATTTCGTTTTGCCAAACGTTTTTGCATAAATAATAATGGACAGAAGCAATTGTGTGGTTTTGTACGTGCCAAATTGATATATTTTCCAACGAAAATCTCCTCAGAATTTCGAAAAAAAATTACCAGTATTTTAACAAAATTTTATAGTCTGAAGTTATTTATTTGTGAATTAATTTTAGTATTTTTCCTGTTTATTGGGTATTCTTTATTTTATTGAACTAATTTTGTGTAACCAAAAATCTGAGACTGAAGAAAGTAGACAAATAAAAAACGCACACCCTTCTATTATAGTTAACGTTTCGAAAAATCAGTCTGTTTTTTATAGTTTAATTTAGCATATTTTATCTGCTTCCACAGCAGATATCAAATAATGTTTATTCTATTATTACTTACCCACTTCCTTTAATATTAATATATCTTTCTTTTCTCTATTATTTTTTGTAAGAGGCCGCAGCCGATTAAATTATACAGGGTGTTTCACAAATGGTGATCAAAAATAAAACACCATATTTTTTGGTGAATCTTAAGAGGAGTTATTCCTATGAAAACACTTTTACTTAAATGACAAGCAAGGTTATTTATTCGAATAAAGAAATTAATAACATTAGTCATAATTTTAATGATTTTGAGTAAATGCTCAAAAATACCTCAATTTTCACGAACACAGGAACGACATCTTTTTATTAACGAAAATGTAATTTATTCGAAATTTATTGTTACTTGAATTTGATGAAAAGCGTTATTTATTCTTTCTTCTAATTGTTCAGAATGTCAAAGTTGCTATCGCAGCCCACCATGTAATTTTAAAAAGCATATTCGAATATTGAAGTGTGTTCTCAGTTCGCTTTTTAAGGTTTACTCGAAAATCAGGCTTTTTTCGAAAAATATAAGAGTAGAAATTTTGTAGACAATCGAAAGACGAATCCGAAAATACCATGGTTGTTACCGTGGCGTACTATTTTATTTAGAAAAACATGCCACCGATATCCTGTATCTCCGGCAATGGAGCATGTAAATTTTAGGAAAAGCCCTCAAATTTTGGACAATGTTTACATAAATACATGTACCCCATTTCAAATTATTTCAGTTACTAGTTTTTAAATTATTTAAAGAAATTTGAAATATTTTTTGAAGTTTAACACCCTGGTCCTTTTAACGAAGCGTCCTAGATAAAAACTTATCTTTGTAGGAAAGACTTCCCTTAAAATTCACAAGAATGCGAGATTTCATTTTTGGTCACTATTTGTGAATCACCTTTTATGACTGTTTCATCAAACTTATTTGCAAATTTTTTCTCTAATTCTAGCTTTTTTATATACAGGATACCTGTAAAAGGTTGGGAAATCTCGAAACTGGAGATACTGGTGAGCAAAATAAGTCGATTGAGCCAAATATGCCTTATTCACATGTTTCTGGTTTCAAAGATCCATGACGATCAATGTTTGAATTTTATTTTGAAAAATTTCTTAATAATTATGAAAACTGACACAGTATGGTAAAAAAAAATGGCACTATTATGTTTTTTAACATGACAAATAAAAAATAAAAGAATTGTTAACTAATTTATCGTTGATTATATAGGGCGAGCTATGTCCGTGCAACATTTTCCTAAGGCATATTTGGCTCAATCGACTTATTTTGCACAACAGTACCTCCAGCTTCGAGATTTTCCAACTTTTCGCAGACACCCTGTATATTTAACTTATTTTATATATTTTATATATTGTGCTATTGTAGGTATATATTGCACCTGTCTAATCTAGTACTTATTGTCCAAGATAGGGTTTTCCAATATAATGTATACTGTATACTGGTATAATGTATAAGATACGCTACAAATGCGATTTTTGAATTTTGAATAACATTATTTGGGGGCGTCTTTGACACAGAAGTTCTAAAAGTATTAGTTGTCTGATGACTGTTATAATGTTAAATTAGTTAAGTACCATATATTCTAAATTTTTCTGATAATGCAAGATATATTGTACTTTTATTTTGGGCCTATTTTCTATTATTTATCTATGGAATGTTTATTTTTCATATTTTTAAAAACTGCGTCAAAGAATTTCTAGTATATTAATTGTTTATTAGTACCTACATTTTAAAAATTTCAATTCATTGTTACACATTTACTTTATGATACAAACATTTAATTACACCTTTCTTTATATCAATATGATAATTAGAAGTAAAATTTAGATATCTGTTACCGAGAGCTATTATAGATCTCTGATTTCTAAGGAATTTTCATTATTTTATTAAATTATCTAGAAAGGTTAATGTATTATTATTTTCAAATAAATTTAATTTAGTTCTTTATTAGTCATATTATCTAAAAAAAAAAATAATAATAATTCCCCGATCTCCAATAAATAATAATTTTTTTATTTGAACTGTTAGTACAGTTCAAAAAAGTCCGTAGAAGTATTATTTAAAATTGGCGATAATGCATATCCTATAGCCATTCCGAAATTTTATTGATAAAACTCATTATTTAATTAAAAAAATATGTAGTATTCGAAATTTATTGGCCAACATGAAGGAAATAAAATNACATAATTCGGTTTTGACGCAAGTACGCGGTTTATATTTATAGCCTGTGTAATGATTAAGAAATATGAATAATTGAATAATTGAACTTACAAATAATTGCAGTGTTAATAATGAAGTATGTACATATTTACCGTATGAGAATATATTTTACAGATTTTTTAAAAATTTTCTTTTTGCCAAACGTTTTTGCATAAATAATAATGGACAGAAGCAATTGTGTGGTTTTGTACGTGCCAAATTGATATATTTTCCAACGAAAATCTCCTCAGAATTTCGAAAAAAAATTACCAGTATTTTAACAAAATTTTATAAGTTATTTATTTGTGAATTAATTTTAGTATTTTTCCTGTTTATTGGGTATTCTTTATTTTATTAAACTATTTTTATGTAACCAAAAATCTGAGACTGAAGAAAGTAGACAAATAAAAAACGCACATCCTTCTATTATAGTTAACGTCTCGAAAAATCAGTGTTTTTTATAGTTTAATTTAGCATATTTTATCTGCTTCCACAGCTTGAGATATCAAATAATGTTTATTCTATTATTACTTACCCACTTCCTTTAATATTAATATAATAATATATCTTTCTTTTCTCTATTATTTTTTCTAAAAGGCCGCAGCCGATTAAATTATACAGGGCGTTTCACAAATGGTGACCAAAAATAAAACACCGTATTTTTTGGTGAATCTTTCCTCTGAAAACACTTTTTCGTAAATGATATGACAAGCAAGGTTATTTATTCGAATAAAGAAATTAATAACATTAGCCATAATTTTAATAATTTTATTTGAGTAAATGCTCAATTTTCACGAACACAGGAACGACATCTTTTTATTGACGAAAATGTAATTTATTCAAAATTTATTGTTGCTTGAATTTGATGAAAAGCGTTATTTATTCTTTCTTCCAATTGTTCAGAATGTTAAAGTTGCTATCGCAGCCCACCATGTAATTTTAAAAAGCATATTCGAATATCGAAGTGTGTTCTCAGTTCGCTTTTTAAGGTTTACTCGAAAATCAGGCTTTTTTCGAAAAACATAAGAGAGTAGAAATTTTGTAGACAATCGAAAGACGAATCCGAAAATACCATGGTTGTTACCGTAAATCAGTGGCGTACTATTTTATTTAGAAAAATATGCCACCGATATCCTGTATCTCCGGCAATGGAGCATGTAAATTTTAGGAAAAGCCTAATTTATTGGCCAACATGAAGGAATTAAAATTACTTACGCAAAAAATTTTTAAGACAAAGGTCAACCATTCAGAAGAATCAAGTCACCCGCAATATAAAAATTTGTATTTTTTAACTGCGTCTCGTAAACTGAAACATATCGAAAATTTGTTTTAGCCTGAGACTTCTCTCAAAAATGTGGCCAACATTGAGGAAAACCGCAACTTTCTGTCTTTAATAATAACCGAGATATCCGAAATTCGTAACAGTGTGGGGATAGAGCTGGTTCAGGTATTTGCGGAACGGGGCAAGAGAAAGGAAATAGCTTTGTTCCTAGAGCAGTCCAAAACATTTTCCAATAGTTAAATGAATGCCCATTCCGGTGTAAGATTTACAGAATGTTCAAAATTCATTGTTTCGAACAAAGCTAATAACTTTTAGTTTGTTACTAGTCGTTCGTCATTGAAAAATCTGGTTTCTCCTAATTTGTTCCTAATTTTTCTACACTTTCAAATAAATGAACTATATTTTCATTTTAATATGGCGTCGTATATTTAATATTACACGTTCCAAGAAAACAAGTTGTGGAAATCAATGAAAGTAATGAATACAACAAAAAAAGAGTTACTATTAGTATAATTATAATGAACTAACATATGTATTTCTCCATATTTACAAACAATAAAGTTAAATTTATCAGTAGGTAGGTACATTGAATACACGTACAGAATAAGTACATAAATTCATAGTTAAATAACACTTGCCGACNATATTTACAAACAATAAAGTTAAATTTATCAGTAGGTACATTCAATACACGTACAGAATAAGTACATAAATTCATAGTTAAATAACACGGGCCGACATTATAGATTTTGATGTGCTGAAACCAAATTTGAAAAAAATGTTCATCGTTTAGATTCTTTGCAATCTCTTCTGTATTAAATATGCA